GGGGGGGGGGGGGTTGGGGGGGGTTTAAAGGACAATAAAAAACATTGTAAAGGAAGCATTTCTTATGTGGAAATCACCTAAACCCTCCCCTGAACCCACGCAGATACGGTAAACCCTGTGAAGTACAGTGGATGAAATTCCTTTTTGTACCTTGTTCAAGGGAGGAAACAGGTGATCACTACACCTCTGCTTATTCATTTGCAACCCTTGCAGTGAAAACTGAACTCACCTGTCTTAACTGGGCTCTATCTTTATTAGTTAAGTATATTTTCCTTTATTTGTATCTCTTTATCTGGAAACAGTCCAGGATCCACAGTTGGGTGTGGAGTGCACATTTTTTGTTTTGGTCTAGCTAAGCAGCATAGTGCAGTTGAGTGAAAACAGTGTCTGAATAGTTGCCTTGAAATCCGGACAGGAGGTACCGTGAAAACATCTTCCTTAGCAGGTCGTAGAGGTGGGCTCCCTGGAGGAGGGGCCCTTGGTTGCAGGTAGGACATTGTGACAGTAGTGAGGTTCTGTTGAAGAGATCACTGACTAGAATGAAGTAAGATTCGGTAATGACAAAGCCTTTTTTATTCATGAAAATCTTGAGGTTATCGATGTGTAGCCAGAGTAAGATTTTTTGGTTTTACTTGGTTTCAACGAACATAATTGATTTCTAAAACAGGGTCCGTACTGGGGGTTCACGCTGGCCTCACTTACTGCTTGCGTGCTCTGTGCCTCTGGGCCCTGGAGACCTGAGTTCTGACTTGCAGGTTTGTGGTTGGCTGCAAGGAGCCTGTTCTCACTCTGACAGGTTGCATATTTTTCAAGATTCTGAACTGTGGCCCTCAGCATTATATCCTTTAACATGAAGGGAACCTGGCTTCTACTCCCTTTCGCACCTCCCATCATTACATGTCTTGGAATGGGAATTGAGACGGTTTTTTGCTATGTTAGAAAAACAGATGTGGACGTGGATTTTGAGAGACAAGTTTTCCAGGCCTATTTGGTGCTCAGAGGTGTTCTCCTAGCTTGTTTCTTTGCAGCATGCTAAGAGCATTCCTCTTCAGAGTGGTGTTCTTCCCTCTCCCCACCCCACAGCAGTTTTACTTCCTTTCACTCCATCCTTGAAAGGCGAGTATGAGAATTCTCATGCTGAAATGCCGGCGCTGCGTTGGGCTGTCGTCTCGTCATGCCGGCAGGCTCTGGTGCCGCAAGTGGGTAGGTCTTGACTGGCTGGGGCCGCTGCTTTGTCCTTGCAGCGTGCACGTGGGAGTTGATGAGCCTGCTTTTGCTGCATCTACAGGATTTTATACCTTTGTAGACAGCAGTCCTCCCCAAAAGACACCATTTATCTGCAGGTGCCATTTAACTTGCATTTATCTTAGCGTGCTTATATGAAAAGGTTGTCTTCTGTGTCCCTTCTGCTTTTAACTTAACGTGGAATGTGGGTAAAGAGTGTGGCTAAACTCAGAAAATGAACACAGTAATGGGAATGGTGAGACCAGGCCTTAAAAGGTGGTGACTGTGGCCCTTTGGAAAGGGGGGTTGCTTGGACTAGTCGTAGGCCATGTTGTAGAAGAGCTTCCAGAATAAAAAGATTCTGCAAGTCTCGCCACACCTTGTCTCAGCACCAGAGGCTGAGGTGCAGCTTTGGGAAGTGCGCCCCCCTCTCCCCTCCCAGTATTTTCCATTCTGCTTCTGGAAGAGCTGTTTAACAGTGGAAAACCCACTGCACCCAACCCCGCCCTGCCTCTTGCAGTGGGGAGGCCCAGGAAGATGGTGAGGTTTGACAAATGGTTTCTGGGGGTCTGTTCCCTTTTGAGCGTCCGAGAAGATGCCTGACGACCTTTGATGTCACTTTAAGATTATGTGGTTATGATCGCTGTCATTAGCGACTGGCTACACTGAATTGTCGATGTGTGAATGGCAAAGATAGAGGAAGCTCAGAAACTGTGCACTTTGTGGACAATTTTTGTGTGTGGAATGAATTCAGGAAGAGCAATTTTGAGGTGAAAGAGTTGGGTACAGGACATTTTTCTTTGGTTAGTGAGTTTTAGGAACATGTTAATTATTACGTCTCACTACAGCTGCCAGTGGGCAGAGAAAGTTGTGAAAGCCCTGAGAAAGTTTTTTTCCTGAAGCCTTGTCATTGCTGCTCTAGGATTTTGACACAAAGAATTTATTGGTTTAAATAGTAACTAAATTGCTAGATGAATGCATGTGTGCACAACAGAGTACCCCCGCGGCGTGTCTTTGTATGTATCTTTCTAATGGGGACAGAAGAGCTCTAGAGTCCTAAGTTCTGTCTCACTGAGGCAGATCCCACAAGTCGCTTCTGTACCTCTCCTTCTCTTGCAATTTCATTTGAAAAGCAGATTACTTTGTCCTTTTAAAGAGTTCATTGAAATAAGAAGGCAGTTTCGGAGCTTTTTAAAATTGTAATCTGAGTTGTATTTATCATTTGGGTTTTACAAGTTTAGAAGTACACGTGGGGTACATGGCAGTCAGAGCAGTGAGCAGGTTTTCTGGTAGTGAGCTGCAGTCTTCGGTTTCTCTTGACGGTCACCTTTTGGATTAGAAAACCCAGCAAAAATTATGTTCAAATTAGAATCTTCTGAAAGTAATGTCTGCAGAATATTTGCATTTTAGGTACCTGTTTTGGAGGTGTAGGGTGCTAGGGAAGTCGGAACTGGGGTGGTCAGCCCTAGGCCACAGTGGTAACCTTGGATAAGCAGAAAGTGGGGATATTTCTGCTTTCAGGTGTAGCAGACAAAGGTTCTGATAGAAAGATCTTGTTTTTAGCTGTCATGGGGCTGTTATCTGTTTTTCTTCTCATGGGCCCTCCCTGAACAGCTTAGCTTGTATCCTTAATGATCCCCCTTTGTGTTTTGTCTGCTTGAAACCAGACAACTTGAAATTAGTCCTCCAGCAATGAAAGACTCGAGCCTGTGGGCACTGTTCCACTTTGGTTGACTACAGCTTTCAGGGCCGTGGCCTGCTTGCAGGAAGCAGCTGCCTTGCCTCTGAGCTGCTGGAGTCAGGGAGTGGCGTGGAGTGCGGAGTCCCCCCCCACGACGTGGAAGATCAAGACTGCTTGTCTCACCTTGATACTCCTATTCATCCCCCCCCCCAATTATTCTTGATTTCACTTACTGAATGTGGATGTGCTTAGGTTTTCACATCTAGGAATTACTATGTGGACTCCTGTTAAACGTCCTCATTTTCAGAATATAAAGTCACTAAAGAAAACCAGGAGTTTGAAAGCAGTGAGGGACAGATTCTCAAATACTGTTTCTCACTAGTATCTTTGTGGCACAGTACAATTTATCCACACAGCACCTTTTTTTTTTGTGGAGGACGGTATTCTTAACCAATAGGAATGACTATCACATAGGTAGTTTTTCTCTCAGGGGAGTCAAATTTAAGGAAATCATTCAAATTTAATGAGTGTCTGGTGAGTTACCAGTTTATCGAAAGGGAAAACCACCCTCTCAGAAGATTGGAAAAGGACAGCTAATCCGGTTCTCTTACCCTGTTGCTGGCTCTGACTTGGGGCCAAGCGGCTGGCACACGGTCTCACAGGCCGGTCCAGCTGCCACCTGCGTTTGTATCACCTGTGAGTTAAGACAGGATTTTATGCTTTCAAAAAATTGGGGGGGGGGGCAGTTAGAGGAAAACAATCATGAAAGTTATATGAAATTCAAAATCACGTTCCTTAACAATGGGCCTACAGGATATAACCTGTTTGTTTATATCAGCCATGTGGGCCTTTCCAGAAGAAATGTGCTGACCCCTGATGTAGACACGGTTCAGACGTGGACACAGACTCTAGGTTCAGCTGCTCTCTTCATCTTCTGGCATGCTTTCCTGACATTTCTGCTTGGGCCCCGACCTTTCCCATCTCTTATCATATACCTTTGACCGTAGGGGTTGACCTTCATCTGCCTTAGGTTTCTCCGTAACATAACTGGCATTTCCCCGCTCAGGGGCTGCTGACTCTGCCTCCTGGCTGCGCCCCTGAGCACCACAGCTGATGTGGCACAAGCTTGGTTGCCCACCTCTGCACCTGGCTGGTTGTTCCTGCTGTGGCTTCTCTGTCCTTGGGATGAGCGAGTCTGACTGGCGTTGCCACACGCTGCTTTTCTGCCCAGGTTGGACCTCTCATGTTTGCCGTTTGGATTCTTGCAGTTGAACTGCCCTTGCTGTTGCTAACGGGAGGAAGGCAGGAGCCTGAGGTGTGTGTGAATGCAGCAGTAGAAAATGGAGATGCGTTCTTCGCAAGAAACCTACACGCCAGGCATGCAGTGTTCTTTCCACTCACGCTGTTGCCTGCTCGTATTGACTGTCGGCCCCTCGGCAGATGATAGCCCCCATCTTGGTCAGCGGCGCTGGGGCCGGAGTGTGGTATCCCAGGCCATCTGCGATGATGATGCCAACCTTCTTTTTTTAATCTCAGCTCTTCAATTTCTTTCATGCTTGCTTGCAAGACTGAGCGA